AGTGTTCTATAAATATCACTGTTACCTATCTAAAAAATAAGTGTTTAATACGTTTGTTTAATTCCAAAAGCTAGATCTATGTAGAGATAAGGGTTGAAATTGTGGTAGGTTCAAAATCATAGAAATATCTGAAAGAGAAGAGAACTGAGATAAACACTTCTTCTTTTTCTTGATAAGTTATATCCAAAGCAAGTATGTTGCATATGGATTTAGTAAAAGCTGTAGAGATTGAAGTATTATTTTAATTTTAATTTTTGGTTCCTTATTGATTATTAAGATTGAGTTGATAGACATGTGTCACTGTATGAGCAATAGAGCGCGTGAGATAAATGAGTAACTAGATTCCAAAGCCAGACCAAAGAATATAAAAATTAATGCATGAATAGAAAGGACCACATGCAGGTTTTTAGGTAAACGGAGGGCTGCTAAAATAGAGGCGCATACAAGAGAACCAGCTGGACAAACAATTTTCTTTTCCAAATAAAACCATAGAAAACCAACATTCTGTCTGTATAGGTTCCTTAGCCTGCTGCCAAAACCAAAAATGCACATCCACTTCATTCTGAAAGCGTTACTTTACACCTTAATGTTCTTTATCCTCATACCACATGCCTTCTTGCCAGTTATCAATGCTATTTACTTCACCAAATGGAAGCCTTTTTATTTACATATATAATATGAATAATATACTACGAATGAAAAGGAAACAAACTAAATAGCTTGTTTTACTTTTCAGTTATGTGCACGCACATTTTCTCCTAATATTTAGATAACCGCGTATGTTTTATCCTAATGTGATTCAAGAAAAAAAAAGATGACTTTATACCTCTAGTTAGTTACATGTATTGCCACTTTCTTTTTTTAATGACAAGGGAAACCCACACCCTTTGGGTGCACACAAGGTAAACATGATCAGTTTTATTGAAGTTGTTGAACTAATTACTTTCCTTTTTTGACATCTTTAACATTCTCAATGTTATTTTCAAGATTTCCTTTAAGTAATATCGGCAATTGAATGCCCAGTAACACTAAATTCACATAATACATACATTCAACTCACATAATATTGTGCTCCTAACAACCGAACTATATGGTATTCACTTTAGACCTATAGTTAGATTATTCCAATAAAATAGGAATAATTTCATAAACCTCCTCCAGGTTAGACTTCATAACACCACTCTACCTTATGGTTTACAATATTATGCTCACCTCTTTTTTTGACTTTTTGCAACAATTATTTAATTTAATTATTGCAAAATCAAATTACTAAAAATATGACCAATTTGTCGTTTTCTATATTCTTTTAATTAACTAATAACTAATAGCTGAATTTCTATAGATAAAAAAAGAAAACTAATATGAAGCTCATAATTCTTTTTCCGCAACATTTGTATTGGATAAAACTCCATGTTTTTCCTTTATGAATATTTCCTCCACCTCATATCCCATCAAAATAAGTAGCACAACCAAGAAGTAAAAGAAGACAAACACAAACAAAAATCAACAACATGAAGCAACAGAGAAAGGATAGATTGGTGCACATAAAAGTCACAACTAATGGAATATTTTAATCAACAATACCTTTAGCAATTGAAACTTTTCTAGTTGTTTCAATTTGCAACAAACATCACCATTGACTAATGCTAAAGAGTTGAAAGGACATCAACGGATTTCTTTGGTTTCAAACTAGAAAAGATAGAAAGCACACTACTAATCGCTAATTTTATGTAGTTGAACTTGCCGTTAGAAATTTAAATATATTAGCGAATCTAATAACTTTCTTTAGTTGACAAGCATAAAATTTAGAATTATGGCACTGACTTCAACGAAGATGCAGACTGAAGTTGTTGAGAGAAAAGAATTGCATAGGAAGGATATGGTATTAGTTTTCTTTCTGTTCTATAGTAATTTTATTAGTAAACTAAAAGAGTGTAAGAAAGGAAAAGTTGGTAAGATTGTGAAACTATCCCTAAAAATGCTTAGGCCTTCTTTACATCCAAAATGAACAAGGTACGATTTAACCCCTGTTCCAACTCAATACGAATCTTTAGATAGACAACGCCTGGAGACTTAACCAATTCTTGGTTCTAAGAGGCTTGACTAATTCTTAGCTCTAAGGAAATGCCAAAGTTTAATAACAAACAAATCTACGATTTTAGCTTTTACTAATCTAGTAGAACCGGGAAAGGAATCATCTCCCAAGTTAGCCAGTGCAATGTAGTTGCAGCAAGGCGAGAAATACCAACTATAAGGTCAAAATAAATGCACCAGTAACGGTAACAGCTACGATGAAGATAAATACCTGTTGTAATCAGACCAAAGGCGTTGGCGCGACTAGGAACACTTGCTGCAATGAACTTGGAATGTTTCTGAAACACAAAACGAAGAAATTTCTTGTGATTTGGAGCTGTAGAACTGTAAATTTGTGTCTCGTCTCAGCGTTTCTGTGACGGAGGACGAGAGAGGGTTTGTTCGGCGAGGAAGATGAGCAGTTCACTGGAGCGACGTTTTCCTTTATGACGTAATAAATGGGAAGGCTATTTTCTAGGGCATTTTCCTTTTTGTTTTATTTCAAGAAAAAAAAAGGACATGGTTTGGAAATACACTTCGCCTCGCAAACTTCTAAGAGGGACTAGAATCTAGATAGCCAAGCCAGTGCTAATTGGTTCAAGAATATATTATATTTTTTTATTTCAATTTATGAAATACAATTTATAACACTTTTTAACGTAATTTGCAAATATATAAATTATTACAAATAACTTTACTTTCTTTTTTCAATTTATGTGACACGTATATAAAATTTAGAGAGTCAATCAAATTATTTTTTTACCGTATATTTTTTTATCTCATGGGTTCAATTACTTTTTCTATTCTTATTTATGTGATAGATAGAATTTAAAAGGTCAATAGGAATGTTCTTTAACAGCAAATTTTTAATTTTTAAAATTATTTATGTTTTTACTTATAGTTAAGTTATAATATTATGCCGTAACTTAAAAATATAATTATTGGGAATGTCTTGTTAATTCAAATAAAACACATATCAATGATGACGTGTGCGATTCTAGAGCTCCTACTATTGTATAAGGCATTCAAATAGACTGAAATTATGATGAAATTATCAAATTACATATTTTAAGCATGTGGGGTGAACAGGGGTCTTATCAGCTCCTATATTTTTTTTTATAGTATTGTATATCTTTTTCACTAATTATCTGATTTTAAACCAAATTATGTGCATAAACACATTTATATTAGACACAAAAAAGAATTTTAGTGTCTTATCTAAATTTCCGTCGTCTCTCAAGTTTCAATATGTTTATAAGTGGTTGGATTTTTTTCACTTCATTATGTATAGCACATATTCTTTTCTTTTTACATTGAAATATTATTTGCATTTAATATACACAAGGGCATAGAGTCCGTTATTTATTGTGTATGAGACGTGAGACGATGAGGACCGATTTGGATCTAAAAGAATCAAATAATAGGTTAAAAAAGTTCAAGGTGTTAAGATCCTTGCTTAATATATAGGGTAAATAATAAGAAAAAATAATAATTTTAGCAAGTAATGAAACACTAGCATAGTTTTAGGTTTAAGTCACATGCAGCCCCTTAAAGTTGTCCGCATATTTCACTTAGACACCTTAAGTTAGACTTGTACCTATTGAACACTTTGACCTTAAGAAATATATACCTATTTAACATAAAATGACAATCAGTTAAAATATTAAGATGCGTGTATTTGTAACGCTTGTACATAATAAACATACCAATAAAATTATGACACGTGGCATTGGATCCAACTTTTTAAAAATATCTATTTAAATAATCCAAAATGTTTTTTTAAGAAAATAAAATTTATTCTTTTGAATTGCCCTCCCCCACCCCGCGTCTTCTTCTTCAAAACCCATATCCCCTCTTCCATCGCCCTTCTATCGGCGCCGACGCGGGCATCGGCAGCCCAGCAAACCATCATCCGACCTCTTCCTTCTCCTCCGTTGATCAACTCACATCTTTTATTTCCTCCATCGAATCTTACTCCTTTCATCAACGTCGACAATACACCATCCACCCAAGCTAAATACCTATTTTTTTCATTTTAATAGCACCAAAACCTTCTATTCATTGCCTTTATCTTCTTCCCATTTGTAATTATTTATCACAATTATAACAAATAATAACAAACTTTTATCCGAAAAAATTAATTCATAGTTATTTCACCGGAATAAATAGAGTTTTGCCGGAATATTGAATATGCAGATCTACATAAAAAATAATAAAAAGGGAAAAAGCAGAAGAAGAATTGGAGACGGTGAGAGAAATAGATAAATGGAGGGGGTGGGGTGTGTGTGTAGAAAAGATTATGGAAATGGTAGATGAGAATGGCAGATTGAGCGGGGAAGAAGACTTCCTTTTCAAAAGAAATTATTTTTTAACTTTTTTATTAATTTTTGTATATAAGTTGGTAAAAAAAGAAAAAAAAATTATTTTCAGTAGTCTTACGCGTCCAAAGAGAGTGTAGTACATGTTTTTTGACATGTCAGCATTTTGTGTCTAATAGGAATGACTTTTAAACAAATAAAATGTTCAACAGGAACAAAGATAAGTTGAGGTGTTCAAATGAAATATGCGGACAACTTTAATGGGCCGCATATGACTCAAGCCATAGTTTTAAGTATGTAATTGACAATTTCACCATAGTTTAGTTGTATTTCCTTTGTGAAAACACAATATTGAAAAAAAAAATACCAAACTAAAAAGGTCGTACTTCTCATCTACTATTAAAAATCTATTCATGTATGTTCTTAGTGTTACAAAAGTGGCTTGAATATGTCCTTCCTCTTTAACCCCATCCATTTTAACTAAAATGACATATCAACTCATCACACCAACTTTTATTCATCACTATCCAAAGTCACCAACACCCAATTCCTAGGGTGTTTTCGGTTTTCATGGAAAATACTTTCTTCAGAAACAAGTGAATTTCTTACTCAGTTCTCAAGAATGAAGACACCAATTTATATCGGTTCCACTTAGAGAATTCAAAGAACAAGATGCTTTTCTTCAGAGGAAATAAATTAAGCTGTCAATCTCAGGATACTTTTCAATCTAGAAATAGAGGGTATAAACTTCGCAAGTGATCCTGAATGAATAGTCAAAATGAGGTGCATGATGTTTGTAAACTAATTAGAAGGGGAGAGTACGTGGTTTGTAGACGCCCAAACTGCATAATCAAAGCGCAGTGGTGGAAATCTGCACCATTTATACCTCCATTTCCCGATAAGATGCTTGTTCTCACAGTTTTTATAATAACAAACACATCGGTAGGTACACTTTGACAACCATGTTTTTTGCTCTCAGGCGGCATCACACAACAACAACGGGAGTCTGCACAAGTAATCTCCAAATTATCTGCACATAATACACAGACAACAGTCATCCATCTCTTAATATAATCAATGAATTGCATTCTAAAGCAAGATCTTCCATAAATAATTCATGAATCCAGGGGATTATATAGATTTGTAATTGGCAAGGAAAAACCAAATAGAGCACATCGGAGAATCACATTGTCTTTTGCTGCCAATAAGCTTCCCCGTAGACATCTATAGCTACACAATAAGGAGAATTTTGTCTAGTATTTGGTAATATTCGCTCTTAAAATCTGATAAGCTGTGAACTAGATTTGACATCAAATATCCTACTACTAGAGTCCCGATCACCTAACCAAGCTTAATTTACCCGACAAGTATAAACACAGTGGGAACTGAACAATCATGTAATATTCAACATCATTCTCAGGTGGATACTACATGTTATTTTCAATTCTTCTGCAAGTATTTTTCCCTAATCACTCTTTTAAGTTAATGCCTCTTAAAATACATCTCGAGTTTTGATAATGGTAAAATTTAAAATGAATTTTAAAAAATGAAATATTATTCACAAGAAAAGAAAGACCCTCGATTTTTTTTTTTAAAAGGTATTAGTTCCATTTCACTAGCAGTGTATTTTCCCGCCTACACCATGCCTTTATTTATGCCCCTTTCAAATGGGATAGAAGATTGATAAAGTGAGAGAGTTTCAACGGCAACGCAGCAGGGAAAAAAGACTTCCAGTTTAGTGAAATAGAGCACAATCATTGAAAGGAAGGAAGAGGAAAGTCTACTCAGGCTTAATAGAGAGATCTCATTGTAGCTCAAGAAAGAATTAGAATGAACGGCGCAAGGAGAGTAGTTCTTCTTCGAACTTTGGCCTTTTAACACAGAATGCGTTGGTGATGTTAGAAAGCTACCGTTTTGGCACGACAACTGGCTCAGTCATTCCCCTTCAAGAGACAGACTCTGTAACGACCCATTAGGTCATTTTAAGTACTAGAGTTTCTTATTTCATAAATAACTTCCAATATATTCTAAATGAGTATTTCTGACTATTCGTAACTACAATTATATAATTAATGGGGTAATTCTAATAAAATAGCATTGAAATTAGTAGTGGACCACTTTCACTACTTTTATAATTAATCATGTATAATAATTAGGGTCGTAAATAATTTGTAGAAAAGAAAAGAGAGAAACTTAGCGACCAGGAGAGGAAAAGATCGAGAATCTGGTAAATCAAGACGCCCCTAAATCTTCGTTTTATGTATATGGGTTGGATAATATTAATATATTAGATAGGAGAGAAGGTAATTTGAATTGATGCACTGCAATGTGTTACTACTATGTCTTTGATCAATATGTTGACGGCTATCAGTTGAATGATGATTGCCATTAGATAATTCAATCATTAGGATTGAGTTATGTAGTATATCATTCATTGTAAATAGTTTAGGTTTGGCAGACCGTGTTTCTGTAACTAAGTGATTTCAGTATTATTATCATATTATAAATTAAGTTTTGATATATTGAGATAAATAATTAAATATTAAGGGTATTGTGTTATATGAATTCCATTAGAGTTATGTTATTTGGACGAATTGAGACTTAACCTTAGGCTTGAATATTTAGGAACGAATGAGACTTGATATATTAGTTGGTATCAAAATTTAGGAATTTGATTATAGATTTGGATGAGTTTTTGAGTCTAAGCTAGATATATAGTAATATGGATGTCTACGGACTCATTTGCTTATGAATATTGTATACTTGATAGATTAGAAATGTTCTGAGGCATTAAGGAAAGAAAAAAATTGGGGAATTAGCTTGCTTTACTTCGATAAAGAAAGGTTATGGTTTATTCTATGTGATAGAGAGACTCTTAATAGTGACTGATAGTCATCGAGTAATTCTGTGAAATTTTCTATGTACGTAATTATTGTGGTTTAGATGATTCATGTGTTGTTTGTGATTGGTGTGTAATCCCAAGACCGCAAAATCCATAATCTTGAACTTATTTTATTGAAGTGATGCCTTGAATAAAGAAGGCTTGGTGAAAGTGTTAATGAAGTGTTAAGTGATGAAAATAATGATGAGTTAACTATCGTGACACCTCGGGGCACCCGATCCAACAACATAGTTAACTCATCATTTTTTCATCACTTTCCACTTCATTAACACTATTTCACCAAATCTTCTTTATTCAAGGCATCACTTTAATAGAATAAGTTCAATCTTATGGATTTCATGGTCTTGAGATTACAGATCAATCACAAACAACACATGATCATCCAAACCACAACAATTAAGTATATAGAAATTTCATAAAATTACTTAATGACTATCAATCACTATTAAGAGTCTCTCTATCAAATAGAATAAATCATAATCTACATTCACTGAAGAACCGAAGTCAAGCAAGCTAATTCCCCAATGTTTTTCCTTTCCTCAATGCATCAGAACGTTTCCAATCTATCAAGTATACAATATTCATAAGCAAATGAGTCCGTAGACATCCATATTACTATATAAATTACTATATATCTAGCCTAGACTAAAAAACTCACCCAAATCCATTATCAAATTTCTAAATTTTGATATCAACTAATATATCAAATCTCATTCGTTCCTAAATATTCAAGCCTAGGGTTAAGTCTCAATTCATCCAAATAACATAACTCTAATGGAATTCATATAATACAACAGACCTAATATTTAATTATCTATCTCACTATATCAAAACTTATTTTATAATATGATAACAAAATAATAATATTTAAAAATTGAAATCACCTAGTTACAGAAACACGGTCTGCCTAACCTAAACTATTTATAAAGAATGGTAAAGTACTTTTCTACAGATTATTTACTACCCTAATTATTATACATGACTAATTATAAAAGTGGTGAAAGTGACCCACTACTAATTTCAATGCTATTTTCTTTTGACCACAAACTAAATTAATTATTATAATTACCCCATTAATTATATAATTGTAGTTACGAATAGTCCAAAATATAAGTATTATTTTATGTTGATTAGAATGTGGAATAAAAATATATGCATTAGCTAGCACGCCCTTAATATTGAATAATACAATCTTACCAATTTCAAAATAAAAAAAATGTGCATTAGCGATGTAGATAGTAACTATTTAATGACAACAATATTCTTTCAAAGTAATTAATTAATTAATGTATACTAATCTCTAAACTATTAATCACCGAAAAACAATCCCTTAATTAATAATTTACCTTATAAACAATTCATGCATTATAATCTCCACAAAAAAAAAAACTATACCACAGTGGACGTTGAGGTTGCAAATGTATGAAACTACTGGTTAGCCAAGCTGGAAATTGTCAATTTGGACGATCAAAATGGATTGAATCAATAAATAAGTCATTGTCCAATCTAACCCAAAAATTTGTTGGATTAAGATGGGTAAGATAAAAATATGATAAAAAATGGGTCATAACAAAACCCACCCAACTCCTACCATTATTTAATATGATTGTATATTTTTTTAATCAAGCAAAGAGTTTCATTAATAAAACAAAGGTCAACTCGTCATATACAAGAGTTATACCAAAAAAGGAGAACCTACAAATAAAAATATAAGGGATCGTTTGATAGGGTGTATAAGAACAATGATGAATAGAGTGTATTAGTAACGTTTGAATTAGTTATGCTAAGATTATTTTTTATGCAATATTTGATTTTGTGTATTAAAAATAAAATGCATTCCAAAATAATACTTCTTATTTAAGCTTTAACTATCTCCACCTGCAACTTAATTGTCAGCTTCTGCTCCTACATATGTTCATCTAGAGGTATTTGTGAGGCATGGTGTATAATTTTATACATTAGAATTCATTTTTTTCTTGCTCGTCCAATGCTTGTAATTCATTATAGAAATCTTTCAATGCCTCAAAAGCCATTTGATTTGCCCTAAGCATAATCACGATGGTCAATAATTTTCTCTTTACTTGTGGAACCATAGGAACATGGTTTTCCACTTAGTGAAAAGAGCACAACACCAGCATCTGCTCTGGCCCGAGTTGCAAGTTTATATACATTATGGAACAAGGTGTTTTGTTCTTTTTGAAAATCTAAAAGTGTTGCTTTCCTAAACTTAATCAACGTTGTTTCAATCTTTTGCTTACTATTTCTAGTCCTATTTTCAATTGCAAAAACAAATAAGTAAAAAAGAAAAAAAGATGTTTTTTTTAAGAATAGCTCAGGACTTGTTCAACAAAAAATATCTTATTTTCTTCTTTAATTATTTCCTTTTACGTTGGAAAACATGACAAAAAGGGATAGGCAAAAGACTAAAATAAAGTTGATAAGAGTCTCAGTAAGCACACAATGTTAGTTTGTCAAAAAGAATAAAATATTGTATTCCACAAGCAAATAAGATTGCAGCTCAAACTGGAGTGGAAGCTGGTGATATGCTCTTTTCACCAAGTGGAAAATCATTTTCCTATGGTTCCACAAGTATAGAAGAAATAATTGAAAAAAATTCAAAATGAAACTAGAGGATCGCCAACGCGATTATGCTTAGAGAAAATCAAATGGCTTCGAGGCATTTGAAGATCTTCGTAAAGAATAACAAGCACCAAATGAGAAAGAATGAAGCGAATACTAATGTTCAAGATTATGAATGTTGGTTCAGAAACACCTCCAAATAAACACATGGAGGAGCAGAAGTTGACGATAAAGTTGCGGGTTGAGAAACTTAAAAAAAAAAAAAAAGTGTTATTATGACCGAGCATCCCAAGTTTGATTTAAATTTTGCCCCTAAGACGGAAGAGTATGAGAGTTCTTGAACTCATAATTATTATGAAGTTGGTAATTAGAGTTCTTGAAATTGGAGTTACACTTGGAGAAGACTTTACCAGCGATCGAGCTTTCTAAGATAGTACATTCTTTCTTTTGTTATTAAGTCACATGTTGTTGGTCTTCAATCATCAATCTGTACGAGGTTTAAAACAACAAAATAGAAGGTTATGGAGTACTTATATATTTAAGACAAATTTTTGTTTGTTTCCTCTTTAGTATTTAATGATGTTTTGTGTTGTCTAGATTAGTAAATTAATGAAGCCTCTTACTGAACTAGTGAATAATGTGGAAGTGATGGATCAAAGAGAGCACTCTTTAATGTTCCAACTCTAGGGAGATTGGTGCATTACATTTAACACCAAAACTAGCTCTCGGTGGGTGAGATGGTGGAATCTGTTGTAATATGAGTTTATAAGACATCCATTAACAATAGTATTATTTTATGTTGATTAGAATGTGGAATAAAAATATGTGCATTAGCAATGTAGATAATAACTATTTAAACACAAAAATATTTTTTCAAAGTAATTAATTAATGTATAAAAATTTCTAAACAATTAATCACCGAATAACAATCCATGCATTACAATCTCCACATAAAAATATCTCTACCATAGTGGACGTTGAGGTTGCAAATGTATGAAAATACTAGTTAGCCAAGCTGGCAAATTGGACAGAATTTGGCAGTTAAAATGGATTGAATCAATAAATGATTCTTTGTCCAATCTAACCCAAAAAATTTGTTGGATTGATATGGGCTAGATAAATATATGATAAACAATGGGTCATAATACAACCCGTCCAACTCTTACCATTATTTAATTTGTTCATTCAAGCAAAGAGTTCCATAATAAAACAAATGTCAACTTGTTGTATACAAGAGTTATACCAAAAAAATTGACTTGGTAAAAAAAGAACTTCATAACCTTCAATTTTGTGGTCTAAAATCTCGTATAAATGAATGAGTCGATAGCAAAAACAAAGATTGACCAAATTAGGAGATTGGTAAGGTATCCTCCAATTTCAAAATCCATGATAATTATAAGCTTAAAAGCTCTCCTCTTCTGGTTCAAAGACAACAATTAAATCAAATTTGATATGCTCGGACAAAATAGCACCTCTTTATTTCTTCTTTATCATTCTCCACCTACAACTTAATGGCCAACTTCTACTCCTCCATGTATTTATCATGAGGTGTTTCTCAGCCAGGGTGTATAATCTTATACATAAGTAATAATTTCTCTCATTAAATGTTTGTAATTCTTTACAAAGATCTTCTAGTGCCTCAAAGCCATTTGATTTTCCCTAAGCATAATCATGTTGGCGATCCTCTACTTACACTTTTAAAAACTTATAAATTATTTTTCTATACTTGTGAAAGCATAAGAACATGGTTTTCCACAAGTATAGAATAAATAATTGATAATTTTTTCAAAATGAAACAAGAGAATCGCCAACGTGATTATGTTGAGGGCAAATCAAATGACTTTGAGGCATAGGATCTCCATAAAGATTTAGAAGCATGGAACAAGAAAGAAAACGAACGAATACTTATGTATAAGGTTATGCACCTCGACTCAGAAATACCTTAGATAAACACACGGAGGAGCAGAAGCTGGCAATAAAGTTGCGGGTAGGGAAAGTTCTAGAAGAAACAAAAACTGCTACTTTGATCGAGCATTTCAAGTTTGATTTCCATGTTTCCCATGAGCCAGATGAGGAAGAGTAATTATCATGGAGTTGGTAATTGAAATGTAGGTATTAACTACTTAAATGCAAAACCACGCCACTAAAATAAGTAATTCATGTATAACAATTCGTATAAATGGATGAGTTAATAATAAAAACAAAGATTGACCTAATTAGAAGATTTGATCATTGGTAAGGTATCCTCCAATTTCAAGAACACCAACTACCAAATCAATGTTAATTATAAGTTGAACAACTCTCTTCTTCTGGCTCAAAGACAACAATTAAATCAAATTTGAGATGCTCGACCAAAATAGCACCACCTTATTTCTTCTTTATCATTCTCTACCTGCAACTTAATGGCCAGCTTCTACTTCTACATGTATTTATCATGAGGTGTTTCTGAGCCAGGGTGTATAATCTTATACATTAGTATTCATTTTTCACATTAAATGTTTGTAATTCTTTACAAAGATCTTCAGTGCCTCAAAGCCATCTGATTTACCCTAAGCATAATCATGTTAGCGATCCTCTACTTTCACTTTTAAAAATTTATCAATTATTTCTTCTATACTTGTGGAAAACCCATGTTTTCCACAAGTATAGAAGAACTAATTGATAAATTTTTCAAAATAAAACTAGAGAATTGTCAACGTGATTATGTTGAGGGTAAATCAAATGGCTTTGAGGCATTGGAAGATCTCCATAAAGATTTAGAAGCATGGAACGAGAAAGAAAACAAACGAATACTAATGTGTAAGGTTATGCACCTCGGCTCAAATATACCTCTAGATAAACGCATGGAGGAGCAAAAGCTGGCAATAAAGTTGCGGGTAGGGGAAGTTCTAGAAGAAACAAAAAGTGCTACTTTGATCGAGCATTTCAAGTTTGATTTAAATGTTGCCCCTGAGCCAGAAAAGGGGGAGAGTTCTTGAACTCATAATTATCATGGAGTTGGTAATTGGAGTTCTTAAAATTGGAGTTATGCTTGGAGAAGACTTAACCAGTGATTGAATCTTTTAATATGATCAATTCTTTTCTTTGTTTTAAGTCGGTTGTTAATAATATTCAATCATCCATTTATACGAAGGTTTAGACCAAAAAATAGAAGGTTTTGGAGTTCTTATGAAATTAAGTATGTTTTTTTGTTTGTTTCATCTTTAATATTTATGATATTATGAGTTGTCTAAATTAGTTGAAGCCTTTTCTAAACTAGTGAACAATGAAAGTGATGGATCAAAGAGAACACTCATTCACTCATTAAGGTTCTATCATGGTTCCAACTCTAGGGAGATTGGTGCATATACATGTTACACATGAGCTAGCTCTCTATGAAATGGTGGAATCTTTTGTAACGGGATTATAAAACATCCATTAACGGTTAGTATTATTTTGTTGATTAGAATGTGGAATAAGAATATATGCATTAGCAATGTAGATAGTAACTATTTAAAGACAAAAACATTCTTTCAAAGTAATTAATTAATTAATGTAAAACAATCTCTAAACTATTAATCACGAAATAACAATCTCTTTATTATTAATTTACCTCATAAGCAATCCAAGCATTACAATCTCCACATAAAAAAATATCTCTACCATAGTGGACGTTGAGCTTGCAAATGTATGAAACTACTAGTTAGCTAAACTGGCATTTTAGCTAGTCAAGATGGATTGAATCAATTAAATGGGTCAGTGTCCAATCCAACCAAAGAATTTATTGTATTGTGATGGGTTGGATAAAAATATGATAAATAATGGGTCATAACACAACCTGCCAAACTATTACCATTATGTAATTTGTTTGTTTATTTTTTATTTTTTTTAATCAAGCAAAAAGTTCCATTGATAAAACAAGGTCAACTTGTCATATACAAGAGTTATACCAAAAAAGAGGAACCTACAAACAAAAATATAAAGGGTCGTTTGATATGGGGTATAAGAATAATGATGAGTAGAGTGTATTAGTAATGCTTGCATTAGTTATGACTTATGCATGCATTATTTTTCTTCTAATGCACTCTAACATCTTTTTCGGTCTTTCTAACCAACCTTTATAATTGAAATAAAATTAAACAACTAGTCACTTCCAAAGCATTTCAAAATAATGACTCCTGACTATGAGATTATATCATATAAGCAATCTCTTAAATGTTGGACTTTCAATCTACATATCCAGATATTTGACCTTTTCTAGCTGTCATGGGTTATCTGGAAAGGGGGTAAACCAAATGGAACAAAGAAACAGGGGTACCACATTGGGTAGGAGACAACACAAAAGGTGAGGACTTAACCATAAGATAGCAGATACATAATAATGGACTTCAACTTCCAAAACAATATGCCTTGCACCAGTAAACTAATGTCAAAACTAACATGATCAATTGACAGTCATCCACACTGATATTCCTTGTGACTAACCTAGGGGCAAAGGAAGTCTTTCATATTGGCATATTTCGCATAACGGGATATAACTTCAACTATACAAGATAAAGTTCATTGTCCGAAAAAGTCAATTATTAATCAATCAAAAGCGCAAATATAATCTCTAGTTATGTAAAATTACTACCAACCTCCAGATTTCCAGTTACAGCAACTCATCTTGGTTGACAGGCAGATATGGAGATGCAAAAAAATCCATGCCTGAGTATCCTAGATTCACTGTGTTCTCCGCATACCTAAACAGGCAGAATTCTATTAATAAACCGTGGAATAGATAATGTCAACAATAAGTGAAAACTTCCGAATTAATTTAGCTTAAAAAACAGAAGGGGACTGGGCATGCTAAACGAGCACAAAGAGAATAGCTGAAAAGATAAACAACTTACTTCACAATTGCCAACATCCTCGACATTGATCATGGTACAATTGACACAACCACTGCAGAACTTCTATTTGCCTTTCTGATGGTTCTCGGTCACTGTCATCATCATCATCCTTAAAATTATACTAAGCATTGTACATATCCTCCGAGTTCTTACACTTTCGCACTTGGCACTTTTCTGAAGTTCATAACAAAGTAACAGCAAGGTATAATCAGATGCACACCTTCAAAATCAGTGAAATATACAAAATGAACAAATAGCAGCTCCCTCAGTGCTGTAGCATATTGATCAGCTTTCAAATCAGAGATCCCATCTTAGTCTCTTGTACAAAGTTGTAACACCTCCAAAATCGTCCATCATTATGACAAGTATAATCACAAACATCTGCTGAGCCAACCCCATCCAAACTTCCATTTAAATCTTGACAAAAAATAACTTCCAATTGATTTGGAAGACTGGTTTCAGATTTTCCACCAGTTAAATTGCTCATTTTAGATGCTTCTGAGACCTCATTGCCTTCAAAATTAGTGACACATTTTTACACTGAGATCATATCTCCACAACGATCACAATCACCTGTGACAATTATCAAATACTAATTAGTAGCCATGAAGTTTAGACAGAAACTTCTAATTTTACAGACTGCAAATGCCAAAGCAGTCATCTTTCCTGTATTACACTTTAGTGTGTCATTCCCTATAACACTAATGTGATGCTACAAAGTGTTCTATAAATATCACTGTTACCTTTATCAAAATAAGTGTTTAATACGTTTGTGTTTAATTCCACACCCTCGGGTGCACTTGGAATGTACTTTCTCAAATTTGACTTATTCTTTTTCTGGCTCCTATTTTGTGTAAACTCAATTACTAAATTAGCAATGTAGGTTTTAACTACTTAAATGCAAAACCACTCCACTAAAATAAGTAATTAATGTATAACAATTCGTATAAATGGATGAGTTAATAATAAAAACAAAGATTGACCAAATTTGAAGATTCGATCATTGGTAAGGTATTCTCCAATTTCAAGAACACCAACTACCAAATCAATGTTAATTATAAGTTGAAAAACTCTCCTCTTCTGGCTCAAAGACTACAATTAAATCAAATTTGAGATGTTTGACCAACATAGCACCTCCTTATTTCTTCTTTATCATTCTTCACCTGCAACTTAATGGCCAGCTTCTACTGCTCCATATATTTATCATGAGGTGTTTCTGAGCCAGAGTGTATAATCTTATACATTAGTATTCGTTTTTCTCATTAAATGTTTGTAATTCTTCACAAAGATCTCCAGTGCCTCAAAGCCATCTAATTTGCCCTAAGCATAATCATGTTGGCGATCCTCTACTTTCACTTTGAAAAATTTATCAATTATTTATTCTATACTTGTGGAAAACACATGGTTTTTGTGTTTTCCACAAGTATAGAAGAAATAATTGATAAATTTTTCAAAATGAAACTAGAGAATCGTCAACGTGATTATGTTGAGGGAAAATCAAATGGCTTTAAGGCATTGGAAGATCTCCATAAAGATTTAAAAGCATGGAACGAGAAAGAAAACAAATGAATACTAATGTATAAGGTTATGCACCCCGGCTCTGAAATACTCCAGATAAACACATGGAGGAGCAAAAGTTGGCAATAAAGTTGCGGGTAGGGGAATTCTAGAAGAAACAAAAAGTGCTACTTTAATCGAGCATTTCAAGTTTGATTTAAATGTTGCCCCTGAATCAGAAAAAAAGGAGAGTTCTTGAACTCATAATTATCATGGAGTTGGTAATTGGAGTTCTTGAAATTGGAGTTATGCTTGGAGAAGACTTAACCAGCAAGGTATAATCAGATGCACACCTTCAAAATCAGTGAAATATACAAAATGAACGAATAGCAGCTCCCTCAGTGCTGTAGCATATTGATCAGCTTTCAAACCAGAGATCCCATCTTAGTCTCTTGTACAAAGTTGTAACACCTCCAAAATCGTCCATCATTATGACAAGTATAATCACAAACATCTGCTGAGCCAACCCCATCCAAACTTCCATTTAAATCTTGACAAAAAATAACTTCCAATTGATTTGGAAGACTGGTTTCAGATTTTCCACCAGTTAAATTGCTCATTTTAGATGCTTCTGAGACCTCATTGCCTTCAAAATTAGTGACACATTTTTACACTGAGATCATATCTCCACAACGATCACAATCACCTGTGACAATTATCAAATACTAATTAGTAGCCATGAAGTTTAGACAGAAACTTCTAATTTTACAGACTGCAAATGCCAAAGCAGTCATCTTTCCTGTATTACACTTTAGTGTGTCATTCCCTATAACACTAATGTGATGCTACAAAGTGTTCTATAAATATCACTGTTACCTTTATCAAAATAAGTGTTTAATACGTTTGCGTTTAATTCCACACCCTTGGGTTGCCCTTGGAATGTACTTTCTCAAATTCGACTTATTCATTTTGTGGCTCCTATTTTGTGTAAACTCAATTACTAAATTAGCAATGTAGGTATTAACTACTTAAATGCAAGACCACTCCACTAAAATAAGTAATTCATGTATAACAATTGCTAAATTGTTTATGACCCACATGCACCCAAAGGTCTGGCCTTGTGGTCAATGAAGTGGTTGAAAACCATGAGGTCTCAGGTTGAAAACTACAAAAAAACACTAGGTCATTCTTCTCATTTGTCCTATCCTTGGTCGACAAAGTTTCCTGGTACTTGTTGTTTGTGGGAGGTGGCAAGTATCTCGTGAAATTAGTCGAGGTGCACAAAAGTTAACCCGGACACCACACTCATCAAAAAAAAAAAATTATTAGCAACCACATAACAACCCCTTCATTCTATGGATTACAATCTCTGCATAACTAATATCTCCATTTATAGTGGTGCATATTTGTGACACTCATTTAATATTTTCATATTATGTAAATATGTTGTGAGATTACCATGAATCCCAACTAATGGTATCTTTTATTTTTTTGATAAGGAACTAATGGTATCTTTTATTTATTGCATTGCAGTTGCATAGTAATAGAGCCGACTGTAATCTAAAGATAAATGAAAAATAGCAATTCTTTGATTACTTGGCATATATAATGTTGTTGAAATAGGTAACTTTGTAATATATCACAAAACAGTAACAGGTTATACTAAAACCATATACAAATGTTACCCTTTCTACTTTTTTTCAGTCTATGTTGTGTCTAAAGATCAATTCTAGATACAGTGTCACCAAAAACATAACAATAGAATGCAGTTTAAATCTATATTTATTAAGATATAGTAGGTATTTTTCCCAGTAAGGTAACAGCTACGACGGAGATGAATACCTGTTGTAATCAGACCAAATGCGTCCGCGCGATTTGGATCCATTGCTGAATTGGAATAGTCTCAAACACAAAACGAAGAAATTTCTGCTAATTGTGTCGCGTCTCACCGTGTTTGTGGACTGTGGACTGTGGACTGGTGGACTGGTGGACTGTCGACGGTGGACGGTGGACGGTGGGAGTTTGCTAGCTGAGGTAGATGAACAGGTCCCTGGAGCGGCGTTTTCCTTTATGACGTAATTAATTGGAAAGCTATTTTCTAGGGTTTTTTTCGTTTTATTATTTTATTTCATGACAGAAAAATGGACATGGATTTGGAATGGGCCCACTGTTTTTCCTAAAAATCACTTTGCCTCGCGAACTTCCTCCTTGTATGAAGCCCTTGTCAATACAAGCCCATCATATATTATTATTTTAATTTTAATTTATATGATACAATAAAATTTTGAAAATCAATTAAATTTTTTATTTGTTGGCAAGTTTAAAAAATTCAAATTTTGTATTTTTAACATCAATTACAAATACATAAATTATTAAGAATGTATTTTTAATTATTGGAATGTCTTTACTTCCTCCTTTTCAATTTATGAAATTTGGAGAGTTAGTATATTTTTTAACATGTTTTTTTTTACAGCACGGACTCAATGTATGTTACTTTTTCTATCCCAATTAATGCTATACAATATACATATATAATTTTGATAGTCAATGCAATTTTCTTTGATCGTAACTTTTATTATTTTATAAATTATTTTAAGTTGTTAATTAAAGTGAGTTATAGTAATTTTAACGTAATTTGCAAATATAAAAAGCATTGGAAATGTCTATTCAATTTTTGGAAATGTCTTTACTACCTTGTCAAAGATTATGTGTCTCATATAATATTTGAAGAGTCAATTAAATTTTTTTTATCGTAATTATCTATATGTCACGGATCCAATATATTTTACTCTCTTTATCTCTTTCCAAAGATTCTTATTTAAATTAAGAATTTTATTTTGTAGCAACTCTTTCTCTGCGAGTAAAGTCCGTACTACATCCAGAGCCGTCAAATAGGCTTAGCCCATGGGGACAGCCTCACCCAACCCTTTATTAGGGTAGGGTTGGGATAGAAATTTTTCAAGTTGATTTAAAACTAGGGCTTATAATCCCGTTCCGTATAAGCCCTTGACCTTTGAGGCTTGATCGGGGACGGGTCAGGGTCGGCTCATGGGCCAAAGCTATTCATTTAAGGGTATCTTACAGAAAGTTCACTAGTGTATGAGCTAATTACTTAGATACATGCTATGTTGTAATAGTATGAATTTTACCAGATTTTGGTGTATCCAAATACATATATCTCAGTATATATGGACTCAAAATTAGGTGTAATTTTTCTATATACACTTTATCCAAGTGGATTCACATGTGTCTAGGATACATTGACAAATCCCGCTCCCTCGCCTCCCTCTGATATCGTTCGTTACTCTCTTATCACGCTCACGTATCTGGGATACATCACACCAAATACATGCATCTCGCGAATCTAATATCCTAGATACATGCTAATCACATTAGATTTTTTGCTAGTGTTATTGAAACAACAACATTGTTTGCCAGATTTGATTTGAAAATCTTCTCATTTCTTGATGTCATAGAATTTTAAGTTTGAAAAAAAATAAAAAGGGCTAGCTTGCCAGTCCGCGACCCTTCTAGGGTAAGGTTGGGTTGGGTTAGGTTGAACATTTCCAAGCCGGCCCTTCCAAATGAAAAAAACCGGCCCACCCTAGCCCCTCAAATTCCTTGACCCGCGAGGCTTGGACTAGGTGAGACTGAGCTAACCCTTTTTGACAACTCTAACTACATCATTATCTTCGACATGAACTTCATTTGGGATAGTTGGGCGTGTAACCACGAACTTATTCCTACAAATGTTAACACGCTAACGTTAATTAGCAATTAACTTCAGCTAGAATTTACCAACAAAAATAAGTTGGCCCTTATGATAAATATCTAACGAATTTGCATTCTAAGTGATTTGTCCTTGTTTAGTGCTGGTAGATTGCGATTTTGAACGTGATTTCTCGCTGTTGGCACAAACTCAATATTATAAGATTGCAATTTGGAATATGATTTCTCGTTGTTTGGTGCTCGATTGTAACACAAATCCAATATTGTAAAAGTTGGAATTATTATATTTAATTAATTTAAAAGCCCATTTGACTTAACTTTAAAAAAAGAAGCTCTTTGAAAATAGTTTTTAGAAAGTTAAACTTAAGTAGCTTTTGAGTTGAAAAATGGAATTGGATGAATACCTACTTTTAAATTTTTTCAAGTTATTTAAAACTTATTTCAAGTTATTTTTACTTTATCAAACACTCCCAAAAATTAAAAATGACTTAAAAGTAGATTTGACCAGCATTTTAATCAATTCAAACTCTTAAGCAAACGTTTAGATTGGCGGACGTTTGGTCTTTAAATGCTTTTTATTTATATTATTCCACATTTATTCACTTGCACAAACTTGTAGAGGTAAATGTTTACTTTCTCGGCAAATCATGATGAGTCGGGCATGGTTCAAGTGACACAACAGCGTGCACCATTAGTCGCATTGTTTAGGTCAGTAACCAAACTTTATCAACTTTCATTGTCTCACAAGGTTAAACTAATCATAATTATACTTCCTCTGCTTTGCTAACTTTAGGAGTAGAGCACTAATATTAGTGGAGAAATTGATGCATGTAAGTGATTGCCAAATCAGTTAACAAAAACATCAGATATTAATTGTTGCATATTATATACCTATATTACGTACAAAATATCACGCTCTAGAATGTAGTGTGGCTACCAAATGTACTTTTAATATATCCATCGAAGTATCATGCTTTTGGATGCTCACTGATTCACATACATGGGAGGGTAAATAATATACATACATAGAAGCCAAAGCTGATGTATTCTTCGTGAATCTTCGACAAAAAAAAGTAGAATTAAGGTCATTTAAGCGTGAAGCGGTAATATATTCCAGTAGGAAGCACAATCATTCCACCTTTCTTTACCCAGATGTAAATCCAGCTCTCATTCATATTACACCAAGAAGGTCAGAAGTATATATTTAGCAACAGTAGTTGGAAGGTAGAATAGCAAAATCCAATCAATAAACAACATCAAACCACTTCCTGCAACACAATAACAAATCTCCTAATTGGTATGGAAGTGTTCTATAAAAAAGCTCTTGATATTCTCCTCGTAATTTAATAGTTTCTCAGGGCAAACCTCAAGGAAATCCTGAAGCAAATTATGAATCCTTAAAGCTTTAGTACTCATAAAAATAAAAATAAAAGGACCGACTTGTATCCATATACTGAGGAAAGGTCTCGATTTTGTAACTTTTAACATACAATGTATGAATATTCATTATCTTTCCGAATTTTATTCAACTCCTCATTAGTCCCATAAATGTAGGCATCAAGTCTCTAGCGGAGCATTCCAAGTTCCGAAATTTTTCACATAGTAATTAAGAAAGGAGTACAAAGGCAGGACAAAACCAGTAATCAACTTGTAACCATTTTTAGGGTTGGTTCATTATTTTATTCCTTGTTCAATTTGGACCAATGATAATACATCCTTATCAATGTAGGATTCTCATCTACCAATGCCAACATAAAAAAGATATCCACCTATTCAATTTCTAAGCCCTAAATACCAAGACATTGGCAACAAATTAGATTAGCAGTATTAACTGAAAAGTAATTTATCCACTTAGCAAGAATTTACAAATGTGAGATCCTTGTACAGAGAACTCAAAAACTTATCGAAAGGTATTGAAGGGATCACGCAAGTGATAAACTGCCCTGAAACCTAGCGATTCTTCATAGATAATTTATACAAATATAATTCTTAGCCTGATCTTTACCGGCAAGCTTGTCAAGAGACACAAATTCCTTTGGCTCATGGTGATGAGGAAGCCTCTGGTCCTCATCGATGTCATCCATGTACCATGCATGTATGACGTCCTCTCTTGGATCCAACCGGAATGGAAAAATTAAGAGAGCTTGCGAATAATTCTCCATTTTCTTCTCTAACTAATCAACTTTTATGATAAATTATACTTTGTTTTTCTGTGTAAAGATTCATCCAAAAACAACATTAAAATCATTCTCCTCTTGGCAAATGTAGGGGGCAATGGGGCAAGTAATTCCAACAAAGTAACCAAATCATATTCAGTCAACACGTTAAACGAAAAAATTCGAGAGGTATAACCATATGTATTAATAGTAACATCGTAAAATTGAAAGTATATAGTTTAGCTAGCGTGACCCTAACCCTGAACCAAACAAAGGAGGCAAACAACAACAGTAACATACCAGTGCAATCCCAGAAGTAGAAGTAGGTCTAGGGAGGATGGTGTGTATATAGACTTATCCTTACCTTATAAAGGTAGAAATGTTGTTTTTGATCGACTACGGCTCAAGTAAAGCATATAATAAAAATGGAGGCAAGGAAACCAAGGCAAGGTAACCAATCTTTGGTGGAAATCTGCCATCTTTCACTCAACAAAGTAACAATAGTGTCTTCCAGACTGCGTGTCCATAATCCATTCAACATCATAATCAGTTTTACATGAGACAACTTTTAGGTTTTTCAAGATTTCTCATTTTGAAAGACGCCTCAAAATTGTACTTTTTGTATGGTTTTTGTGTTAACCGAATAATCCAAAACTTTTGGTAGAGCACAAAAATACTCCCTCTGTCTCTAATTACTTGTCCACTTTTCCTTTTATAGTTGTCCCTAATTACTTGTCCATTTTGACAAATCAAGAAAGGACAAAAATAATTTTACCTATTATACCTTCAATTAATTACTTTGAAAAGGTAGAATTTCTTGAAAATCTTAAATTTTTAATCTATCCACTTCATAATTAATAGGGATAAAATGGTAAACTCACTATGTCAATAATTGATTTCTTAATAGGTGTGTCAATTCAAAAGTGGACAAGTAATTAGGGACAGAGGGAGTATCAAATAAAACCAGAAGTATTTAACCATCAGAAAGTTCTTTTGAAGTTACTAATCACCGTAATATATGTTTGCCAGGGATTGTACTCTGCAAGACCATCTGATTGTACCTCATATTCATGCCTCAAAGAGAGAGTAAGTGTGAGGAACCTTATATGAACAACCAGCCATTGAGAGTTGTAATGTATACATTTACCTTAACACAAACACTGATGCAACCAGGAAAGGATCTGAAAATGAAAGATACGTGGGATTATATAGAAAAGAAAAAGGCATTTATGAAAAGTTCATGAGTGACAATAAACACTATTTTTCAGTGAATGCAAGCATATGCAAAAAATCACAGACATATTAAGAAGGGGAAATTTAAGTTGTTAAGCGAAATACGAACTCACCTTACACGCGGAAGAGCTAATGAAATCCCACAGATATATAGAGATTGATTTTGGCTTTAGGAAAGGAGATGAGATCTATGTGCAATTAAAAAAAATCAAAATAATAAAAACATATATTAACAATCAAATATAAAACGGTTAAATCTAAACTCAGAAGTCATATTGTTGGGTGCAATAGATAAAGATAATAGAGGGTAATGTATTTAAAATGTTTTAACTAAGAGGAAATAAGAAAGAATATTTTCCATTCTCAAAAATAATAATTTAAGAAGAGAAAAAAACATTCTCAAAAATAAGAAAGAATATTTTCAAAGTAGAATATATGAAGAGAAGGAGAACATGTTATAGAATGAGATTTAGACCTGAGTAGTAGTTCAACGGAAGGCCTTGGGTCGTGCGGATATCAGTGACCCACCAAAGCTAGCTACACTCTAAATCGAAGAAAAATTAAGAGAATTTTTAAAAAATTCCAAATCCTAAACTTTAGTGAATCTTCTTTCTTATTGAAATTCCGAAGAGGAGTAAAAGATTCATATATTTATTTGATCTTACCTTGCCCAGTTGCCCTCTTAGGGTAAGACAGTAAAGGTGAGGAATGAGAAATTATGGAGAGACATATGAAGAATGATCCAGAAAACATACCCTTACTTTTGTTTTAATTAACTAAAGTAGAAACATGTCCAAGTTTTATTGTGCCAAGTACAATATATTTGATGGAGCATAAGTGGAAATCGGCACAGTGTTCTCCATCAGCTCTTTGCAGATGGATTCCATCCCTGTTTATTGGTGAAGATTCACAACTTTTGTTCGGGTTCGATAGTGAAGATGCCGAGGGAAGAGATGGTATTTGGATCCTTGTAGATAAATGTGTAACTACACACGCGATTGTACACGCGAGAAAGTTTCATTGACAATAGCGAGCAACACAACTTCATCTTTTCATATGCTTTTAAACTCCATTTATGTTCTTGTTTCGTTCCAAAAAATAGATGGGTAATTGAATCTAGACTACCATGGTTGATAACTCATCCATAACCTCTAGCAATTGGTATGGGGTGTATACTTATGCATAAACAAACACGGTTCAATTTCATAAAATGTGAACTCTTTATTAGATCAGTCAGTAATTAGTAATATGTTATTTTCTTATGGAATCGCAGATATGTAAGGACAACATAAACCTTCACATCAGCCATGAATTTCAGACAACATAAACCTTCACATCAGCCATGGATTTCATATATAATTTTGGGACATACCTGAAATTATGAGGACTTGCGAATCGATTAACTGGTGTTGGAACAAGAGGGATGGAAGAAACTATGCTTTTAGAACTATGTTAGAGTGTTTGTGCTTGGAATGAGTTGAAATCTTTTTGCTTGGAGTGAGAAAGATGGAAGACGGATGGGTCTATACCTTGCGTTTGGAATTGAAATCAGTCCATTTGTTAGTGTAAATTACAATTTTGCCCTTGTATGATTGGTATAATATCTGTTTTACCCTCTCCATCACATTTCTATAATAGAAAAAATTTAGCATATACACACAAAGCGTCATATAGTTTATGATCAACACCTTTTGTTATCCATTTTTTCGTGTATATCATCATACTTTAGTCTTAAATAACATATCTTTTCATGCAAATGTTTGAGAAACGTCTCTGAATTGACTAAAAGAAAAAACTCTAAAGAAATTAGAAAAGCAATGATGACAAAGGTCTATATACAATAATATCCGTACAATAAAATTAAGTGAAGAGACCATGAGCATCTAGAACTATATATAACCACGAGACAAGTGAAATTGAATAAGAGTTGAAATCTTTTGAAGGATAGTTACTTCCATCCGACGGTCTTGATTCTTTTTTAAAAGGTTAACATAGAAATTACAGCTACATACACTTGTATACCAAACAGATTTTAAAGGAGCATAAGAAAACTTAAGGTCTAATTTGCATTATTTGTTCAATTCTCTCTAATTGTAAGTGTCATTAATTAAACACACTTTTTATAAGGTAAAAGTTAATATTTGAAGAACACAAGTAGTTGATTAAAATGCTCATCTGCTGAAAAAGAACGGTCCAGTCTAGCCATATAAACTCATCTCAACCCATATCGACAGAAAGTTCAGTTAAAAAAAAGGAATATTTAGACAATATTTTGTATCAACATTGTTCCCCAAAATAATCCACTTGTCAAAAAATGGCCATTTGGCCACTTTATTTTTCAAGCAAATGCGCTGCTTTTCTTCTTCTCTGATGCCCTCAATGGTTGTGCACGTTTTGTCAAATTTTCCCCATTTCAAATGAAGGACACTCATAGAAAAATTGACTCATTATTTACCAAACGCAAAAAAGCTAAAACTTTACTTGGCACTTAAATTTAAGCCAATCCACGGACAAAAAAAAAAAGGAGCTGCAGCGGGAAAGGTTGGCTTGAGAAAATTCGGGTGGGGGTGGGGGGTGGAGCTGTGAAATAAGGTGATAGTTATTTTCCTCCCCAAAGATCTGACTTATTAATATAATTCACAAAACTACATTCCCGTGGGGGTTTGTTCTCTATGATCATCTTTTCACATGATAACAGCAACCACATCTCTGCCGTTTCCCTGTCTACCTCTTTGGACATATGAAACAGCAGTTGAGGTTGAAACCCGGATCACGCCTTTGAAGAATTACGCACAGAATTCCATCTGCACCTGTCACTTCTGTTGATCAATAACAAAGACAGCTAACTGCAACTAACAATTGGAAGCAAGAAAAATGACCTTGAATGGAGATATGCTAGCATTCCACTGCGGTTTAGATTAGATTTACAAGCACAAGTGATCAATGCAATGATTTTACATGCATGGGTAATCGAAAAGGAGATGAATTCCATGAAAAACCACAGAAATGATTTTGAGAAGCAAGTTATAAGAAGTCGCAAGAATATGGAAGGGACCTTACTTTACATTCACTTTCTTCAACAACAAACAGACAAGCAACATGTAGTCCCACAAGTGAGGTCTGGGGAGGGTAGAATGTAAGCAGACCTTTCCTCTACCTTGGGAGATAGAGAGGTTGTTTCTGATAGACCCTAGGCTCAAGCAAAAATGAAGATTTATCAATATCCGGACTCGTGATTTATTATCATCCTCCCCTTTTCTCTTCCCCAATTTCTACTCTACTTCGACTCCTTCTGTCCCAGGTACTTAAAAAACACAAATAGCATACTGGGTTTATAGCATGAAATTATGCAGAATGTTTCTTCACTTTAATAAAGTAGAGCTCATCTAAAAGAACCAACAGTAAACACTCACATTAGATGAACACCACACATTTAAGGGAAAGAACATGAAACTTGAATCAATTGATATCCTCATTCATCATATATCTTCAGTCTAAATTCAAGTTGCAAAGTCTTTTGGAAATGCTACTGAAGATATGACATGAGAAACTTATCTTTAGCTGCAAATAAAAGAAGGGGTGTTTATGTGGACAGTATGTCCGACTACTAAATAATGTTAGTGAATGAGACTAACAATGAGGGTGAAGCGATCTGGACATGTAAACATGAGGCCAAAAAGCTTTTCTTTCCTGGACTTAATATAAACAAAAGTGCAGAATGTACAACTTGAGGGATGAAAAGACAGTATAGTTATGTCTCGTAAGAAAAATTTACATGCATCAACTAAATTAATGTAATGATAGAACAGTTAAGCATTTTAAGAAAGACACGAATACATTGTACCTACTAAAATCTGTCCACAGTTCGCTTGATTGACTAAGGGTAGGCCTCAACATTCTCCATATACAAGAGATATTCAGTACTAGTAAATAATGATATTAAGTGATTGGACCAATGTGCCTTAAGCTGATCACTAGAGTCTAGAACCAAAAAGTTTATATAATACTGATGCAAGTGCAATGGACTGAGCAGCAGAAGAAAAACAATCATAAAGAATTGGATCAAAGGTATGGAAAATTGCATGAATAAAGAATGTAGTGTAAAATGATGAAAAAATTAAGAAGCAAGGTGCAAGTGTACAATACAAGAAGGAAAACCTTCTCCCTCTTGAATTATTGTTGGATCATACGTACAGTAGTCTTGTTCCTGCTACTGATTAATCAATTCAGTTCTGAGGAAAGACATCTTGGCCAAAATTTCTAAATGCAGCAGGACTTTAGCAAATAACTATTGGAAAACTGAAACGTGTCTTAAATAAGAGCTGCGACTTTCTGCAGAATTTGGAGACATTGATATGGAACTGTTGCAAGCAGGGACGGAGCCAGCTTGCATGAAGGGGAATCCTAATTCCTATTAATAAATAATATATGTACAATTTTTGTGTATACATAAAATGTTTGATTTTCGTTACATTACGGAAGCTTCTAGTGTAGGGAATAGGGATAAGGTGGTTTAAAACCTGTTATCTAGGGAACATGAATAATTACTTATGTATAAAGTTAATCTTACCAATTTCAATAAAAAAATTACTTATGTATAAACATAAATTAGTTTTATAGTTTCATACACCCAACTTACACTTTGGGTCAACTTAAAAGAAGGGTGATTACACTGTGAAAGAATGCTACAAACTAGGATGTCCTGGAAACATGTTTGGAGAACTAGACAGCCTCATAATTCACAACTGTCAAACTTAACTATATATTACATTTTAGCATGAACAAGACCTAAATAAGACCCTCGTGTATAGGACTCCCCAATCATATATCTACTAAACCCATTGTACTTGCATAAACATAAATTATTATAAACAAGACATAAGCCTCACACAGAAAGTCAGCCTAAATTCCAGGACTGCAATTCCATACCCAATTATTCATTTCTATTGGAGTGTCCAGTCTGGATTGAATTTCCAAATCATAATCCACAAGATACATAAGAATCTGAACATCTCAAACCTTATCTAAGCTATAAACTACAGAAAGTGAAGAGATTAGCAGGTCGGTGTTTCAAAGTACCTATCTCGCAAGAGGATCTCCAGACAACTCAGTGGGGGTATGCGTCTCCATACTTTGATTCATTTTGAGCTCCTCCTCATACTTCTTCAATCTCTCGTTCCACATTTCCTTCAATCACATAACAGTAATTTATACAGATGATCGCTCTTTGGCGTAGGCAATTTAACCTAGAATAAGAAAAAGAAGATCGCAAAACCTTGTATTGAAGTTCAGCGCGATGCATAAGATAGAATCCAAGAATGCCTCCAAAAATAGTTCCTGATATAATTCTAACATATCCCCATCTCGGCGATTTCATTGCTCTCTCTTATTTCTAGTCTCCGTCTCCGTTTCCGATTGTTTTCCTTCGATTTTCCTCTCCCCCTTTCTACCCTGAATCCGAAATCTGAGATTATTGACTCACATATGGCTCTTCGAAAGTGGGCCACAACTCACTCCTATGATGGGCTCTTCCAACTGGGCCGAAAACAAGTTTGTGCAAGGATAATCCATATTTTGAGGGTGGTATTTAAGTTTTGTCCTTTAAAGTTTAAATTGATAATTTGTACTTTAATTAAAAGTTTTAGATTAAAGTAGTATTATTTAGGTATAAGGGTCTGAAAAATACCTCAATTTTGATCGAATTTGTTGTTGAGATACTAAACTTTCACGAGGACCTTTTACCTCCCTAGACTATTTAATACCGTATTTTAAACATATATATTTGCCCACGTGGCCATAAAAAATAATGCAAAATTATAAATAATAATGTGTCCACGTGGGCACATATATACCTTTAAAATACACTATTAAATAGTTCAGGGGGTAAAAAAATACGGTATTAAATAGTCTAGGGAGGTAATAGATCCTTATGAAAGTTTAGTATCACAACAACAAATCCGACCAAAGTTGGGGTATTTTTCAGACCCTTATCCCTATTATTTATGACCTAACTTTGCAAGGTTGAAATTTAGTATTTTTTTACCTCGTTCGATATGAGTTATGTAGTATTTAATTGGGAAAATTGTATGAAATAACAAACTATTAATTCAAATTAAATGTTATAGTCATAGTTTCTTTTATTTGTAATTTGCAGCAAACATTCCATGTTTTTTGCCATCCCATTTGTATACCAAAATATATAAATAGACCAAAATATACAAATGCAGGACCCATTTGTAGACCGAAATATACAAATAGACCCAAATACATAATTTTTATGTATATGTATACCGAAATATACATATTAATAGCCATAGCAAACATAAAGTTTGCTATGGAGCACAATTATACAAACTATAGCTATAACATACAAATATGAATTTTATATTTGCTAAACCTAAAATTTACTCTATTTAATTTGCAAGAATTAGTTATTTACTCTATATAAGTGTAGAGAACTTTTTACCTTGTCCAACATAAGTTTTGAAAATATTTATCTTATTTGACAAAAGTTCACTATGATAAGTTATGCCTCTAAAATATAACTTTTTGTGGTTTTGAAACTAAACTTACATATCTATAAATATAAATTCTATGGAAACTAAGTTATGTTGTAGCTTATAGATTTTGACCTTTTATGGCATAATGTTCTGAAATTGAATTTATGTCTTGTAAGACATTATTTATGTGTCTTGTGGAATTTTTTCTTCGTAAGACATAATTTGAGTCTTGCAATTTTTTCTTTTAATGTCAAGGGTATCTTGAACCAATTATTTATTATTACTTAGTATGTTGAATGACAAAAACAAAAAATCATTCATTCAAAAGATAAAATTTAAAAAGGGACAATTTTGCAAATAGCCACTAAAAATAACTTAATTAGGCTCAATGGCTATAGTTTGTTAATAACGATTCGTAGCTACATGTTAGAGGGAGGAGAGAGGCGAGCAAGAGAGGGTGAGAGTGGAAGAGTGAATTGTATTTGTATATCTGTCGAATTGTATATGTATATCGATCAGATGATTGTATAGATGTAACTGGTATACATATGTATTTGTATATCTAGTGAGCGATATTGAGAGAGGGAAGAGAAAGGCGAGCGAGATTGGGAGAGGGAGGAAAGAGGCGAGCAAGAGACATCTGAGTGTGGAGGGAGGCGAAATGTATTTGTATATCTGTTATATACTTGTATATGCACCTCAACACCTATACTAAAGCGCTATTTAAGCGAGGTGAAGCGTATACCCTGGGCTTCGGTGAGCTTCAGGGATTAATGAATTTAAGTAAGCTTTAACAACATTATCAAGAAGCCAAAGAAATATGAAAATTAATGTATCAAGTATGGTAATTCATGAGATTTTAGAGAGAATAAGGAGAAACCTAAACAATATATCATTATTTGTGAACCTTTTACTTTTGAAGCTTGTACTAATTATTATAGCATTGCATCTATTCGACTCAGATGAGCATCTAAATAAATTTCAAGATAATTGACATAAAGAATTGACACAACGGAACAAGTCAATTGTCAGACAAGAAGAACAATAATCCCATTCTTCTCATCACTATATGGTGATGAAATGCTTGTAGTAAATTTTAGAATCCAGTGCCCCATGCTTTATGATTGTGAAAACCTCTTGTAACTTATAGAAAATTTAGCATTAGAAATTCCTAGTTGGATATAGCTCAAGCCACATTATAAGAATTGAATTTAAAATTGTTGACACAATGAACAAATTAATTGAAAGGTAGGAAAGAATCTAGTCCATTCTCTCCACCATCAGAAACCGAATGCTCCTATCTCTCGACAAAGATCGTGTGAGTGTGCAGTTATGCTTCGGATGGAAGGAGGAGAAGTAAATCAAAAGACAGTAGAAAGAATAAGATAGTCGATGGCTTAATGGGAGCAGATATAATGCTATACTAATGCACAACAGAGAAGCTATATGCTTTCTCCCTTTGAATAATCAAGTTCTAGTATAACAATCAACTTAACACAATGATTTTTGTAGCATAAACGATATAACTACAATGACTTTAAGCAGCTTGGAAACAACATCATCAGCTAAGAATTTGCTAAGAATTAATGTATCATTCTTTAAAAGTTTGAACAGGACTTTCATAAAATATGTTATGTGCAAAGGAATAAAGACCTCCACACTTGAAAGCAGATATTAGACATTCACTACATCAGTCTTCTAATGGAACCTCATCTACAATGCTAAAGATTCTATAACAACTGAGAAGAAGTATCGACAAACAAGTCCCAGACACTCGACAAGTCTTTATGCTCCTAAAACATATGAAGTCCTAAATCAATTTGAAAGGTCCCAATTTTATATGCAGAGGGCATGTTATTGATGTTAAGCAGACAAGTTGAACCACATAACAGCGGCTTAAAGATTACTATATTTATACATTATATTAGAATGTAAAAGTTATGTTGGTCGGACTATTCAAAAATGTCAACGGGTGCATGTCAGATTCGCCAAAAATAATGTATTTTTGGAGAATCCGAGATGGGTGCGGCATCAAAAGTAGAGAGTCCGCGCAACTAAGTGTAAAAGTACAATAAAAATAAGAAATTAACTGGATCCGCGTCATGCATTAAGTAAATTTAGAGGTTCAAATAGCTGAACCCGTGACCTTTCTTTTTTCTTTAGAAAAACAATTAAAGAAGCAAGCAAATTCCTCCCTACTAATAATAAGTTGTTGGACAATGTCAAATGTGGTTATCAATGACTTGCTGCCTCTTGAGAAAAGAGGAGAAAGTGGTTGTGGCAGCTCAGGTGGACAAAAGGGATGAGGGAGAGACTTCACCTACAGGACCAAGAGGGAGGAAAAATCCTCATAGAGATGATATAGATTTAAAAAAACGAAGTAGCAGCAAGCAAACTGCTGTTTATACAGAATCAACAGTTCGTTCGGAGAAGTTTGATGTAATTTTGCTGCATAGCATGTGCAATGGAAGGGAAGCATTGACAGCTTACCGCAAGAAGAATGCTAGAACGAAAACCACGGCGCAGAAGGGGCAATCAAAAGGATCTACTGTAGGGACAGGCGGCTGCGGGATGAAATAGTGTGTCAAAAAGGAAATCGTAGATTTAAGGTCTCTTTTAATAAAATTGTGCAGAGACTGTTGCCACCGATGATTGCAGGAGTGCAAGTGAACTACTGAACCAGATTAGACTCCATTCATCTCTTTTTGGAGATGGAAACCACATATTAGCTCATTGCTTTGCAGATGGTCTGGAAGCACGTTTGGCAGGCACCGGGGTTCTAGTGACACAGAACCAATGATGTCCAGCCAAGAGCATCTTTATTCATACAAAAGGGAAAGCCAGAGAAGGGGGCCTGCTGGAAACCCTCGCCCCAGATTTATACAACACCCGTCAATAAGAGAACATCAGCAGCTGATTTTTTTAAGGCATATCATTTGTATCTTGCATCATGCCCATTCATAAGATTTCATTTTTCACAAATTCTACAAAGTACTAATTACACAATAAACACCATATGTGTAGTACTCATTCCAAAACAATGGTACACCTTTACAAGTTACAACATACATACAAAATATACACAAAACCACATCCAACACTCCAGGACACAACATCCAGTCCAATTCTATTTCCTTGAGTAGGCTTTTGTAATGTCCAAAAGGGGCCGCGTACGTACCCTATCCTGATTCAGCATCCTCTATATTTTTCTGTACAAGTGACATACATGTATTACAAAGAAACACCCAAGATATAGACAGGTCCGACTCTTGTTAGTGCTACACTTTAACGGCTGCTGCTGGTTTGCCCCTCTTTTCTCCTGTTCTTCAATGATTTCTGGCCAGGTTGCTGCTTCATAGAAGCACCTACTAAAATTAGTCGAGACATAACATAGGCCAATAGTTCTTCATGATGGGAAAATGTAAAATCCAAATGAGCATACTCAAACTCATTATATGACACCTCCACACCTGCATCCTTCATCAGCTTATAATGTTTCCTTACCATGGATGGCCTGATGACCTTGTCCTTACGCCCAGCAACAAGATCAACCGGAATATCAATAAGGGAATAGAACTCCCCCAAATCTAAAGGCTGAGGGGAACCATAAGCTTTCATGTTCGCAGCTGCACTCCCATAGTCAAACATCATAAACTTCCGAGTGTGCTTGATCTGTGCCAAATGAAGGGCCACACGGAATGAAACAGCTGGCATATCATTCATATTGTAGTGTGGCAACCCTAAGACTCCAACCCAATTGGAGCTGTCTCCACCAACCAAATAACTGATGAGAGTTTGCACAAGGCCTCCAACTGCTGGTAAGTTATGGAAGTCTCGGGCCAACTTGTTAAACAACATGCGGAAAAACCGAGTGGGAATATAGAAAGCTGACACAAAAGGGGCAAGTAGAGGAGACAATAGCAGGAATAAGCATTCCATCATTGTGAATACGGGATTGGAATCATG